ATATTATCAATTTAATTTATTTTTAAGTAAAAAAATAATTTTATTATAAAAATTATTAAAAATAATCATTATTAAATCTAAAAAGTATACTATTATATATTTTTTTATTAAAATATAATACTAAAAAATAATATCAAATCATAACACTAAACAAAATAATCATAAGTATATATATATATATATATATATATGAATTTTATATAATTTTTAATGAGTATATTTTAGTTTTTTTTGTCAAAACGTCAGAAACCGCTACCAAAACGCAAGTTAGAAGCTGCGATTAGAAAACACAAATTTGGTTGTGGTTGTGGGTGATTGCGGTTCAACCAGTCAGTTTTTCAATCGCCTGCAATTGCCGGAAATCGCAACCACTCTGTTTGCGGGTAGCGGCGGTGCAACCAGTCGTCCCCTATAGTCGTTGCGTGTAAGTAAATAATCGAGTTAGTATAGAATATTGATTTGCTATAATACATTTGATCCAACGCCAATTTATTAAACATTCATATTAGATAAATATGTTGGAGAAAATTTTAATTTGAGTGTCTTCATCATGACCTTAATTTTCCAAAAGTCGAAAAGATAAAAAGAGTTTGGAGGGCTGATCCATCCATCATTTAAAAAATTGTTTAAATTACGGTAAAGATATATTTATAATATTAAATCTGAATTTGCATATATTTAAATTTTGTAACAGTAAATACGCATATGCTTCGGCTACATATATGCAATCACACAAATTTCCTTATTATTCTGCACCCAAAAACACACATACAACGTATACATATATTATATATACACACTTACAGGAGGTCCATATATAAAACAAGTGTTAAAGAAGACAAATATCGAAGCTATACTTAAGCTTCAAACTAAAACGACGACGAAGTTATTTACCACATCTGGTTTGACCGGTTTATTCGGTATATAGATGTCGGTCAAGAACCGGTTATCGATCAAGAACCGGTTTGAAAATCACTGCAAGAGGCGCTAACCAAAGACAGAGAAGAGCTAAAGCCCAAAACCGACCTCGCCAAATCGAAAACCATCAAGTTGTTCTCCATCTGGTACGACCCAATCACCACCGTTTGACGCGGCGAGGCGCCCCCGTCTACGAACGCCAGGCATGACACGTCATCACTCACCTTCTTCATCGAGTTCGCGCCATACACGCTCCAGATTCTCCCGTTGTTCAGTTTCAGATCGATACGAGGTGCGTTAAAACCGTTTTGAACCGGACTGTTTGAGCTTAACCGGAGGCATAAACCGAAGGGGCTAACCGGGTCGGCTCTTGGTATTTGAGAAGTAGCGTTGGAGAATTCGTTGAGAAGGAAACTGTAAAGGTCGGTTCTCATCGTAGTGTATTGAGTTGTCGTGCTGAGCAAGGTACCTCCCCCGCCTGTAGAATCGAACGCGAAAGCGCTCGGACCGAACCCACCGTCTTGTCCGTTGACGCAAATGCCCCTGAGACTGATGTAGTTCCCGTTTGGAATTTTGTTGTTCCGAATCAACGGAGTTTCCGACAAGATTCTGGTAGAATCTAGATTTTTCCCGGATTTCAACATGTACGGTCCGTTTCCAAAGAAGACGACTCCTCTGTTGTCGGCATTATCGCTAGAAGGCAAACACAAGGCAAATTTCTTGGATAACCCAAGATTTGAAGAGGCCAGTTGGTACGCAGCGGAGAGGGGAGACCGGGAAAGGCCGGCGACCCCGAAAATCCCCGGCGGAAGACCCCCCAAGAACACCGTGGGAACGCACAGAGCGATGACTCGGGGAACAAGAAAGGTGGGTTTTCTAGGGTTTGTGGAGGAGACGGCAATGTTTTCTCTGGTGAGTTGGTTCGTCCCACAAGTGGCGGAAAACGGGTCGAAGGAGGAGGCCATGCAAGCGCATTGGCGGCCGGTGAAAGTGTTGTTAGGGATAGAACAAGGAGCTGGACGAAAAGTGCGGGAGAGAAGACAGGCGGAGGAGGCGCATGGCACGGTGGCGCGTGCTGTGGACTCGCCTTCACAGCGACGAACCAAGAGAGGGGCATTGATATCGACGAAGTACTTCTCGTCTGAGTTTAGGGTTAGGGTGAAGAGCGGGAGAATGGTGAATGGGGAGATAGGGGCAAAGAGGGCTCTTGAAGGTTGAGAACAAGCTTCTTGAATGGTTGATGTCAAAACGAAGAAGAAGAAGAATAGAGGAAAGATAGTCTTATCCATTTCTCTTAGTCTCTTTTTTTTGTTTTCGAGAAGAAGCTTTTTGTAATTTGGGTTTAGTGTTTTGATGATGATCTAAACGGCTATATGCGAGTGTTTATATAGACGGAATGATCATAGTGTGTATATACTTGCGTGCATAATCAAGCAAATGGTAAGCTGTTTTGAGAAAAGATCTTTGCCAACTAGGGTGGCGACATTCAAATTCGTTTTGTATAACATCTATAAGCATAGGCACATCGTTGGATATATATATAGGATTTTATTGTTGTTTAAATTCCAATACCGAGGGATTAAAAACAATGATTTTGTGAATTCGGTGGATATTGCTACGTGAGAGTTGATCATATTCTCTAGCAACTTGCTTCAATACATTCGTATAATTTACGAATCCTGCAAGCGAATGTCACCCTGTTTCAAATTATATAATTGGTCCGTCCGTACATAATGGATTTTTTTTATAGGGGCTTCAAATTTCAACTTTCCGGTGGGCTGATGTGGCTGATTTACAATCACGCTTTTGACCAAAATTAAAAGCTCAAACAAATCTTTTTTCAATTAATCTAATGTTAAAGATGCGATTCGCATCTACATATAAATAATCATATGGGTTAGAATAAGTGAAACACTTCAACCGATTTTCACTCTAACCTTTTTTTTTTTTTTTAAACTATCTACGTGTACCATGGACATCCATTAAACTCATTTCAATTCATATCCAAATTTTGATTTTAGCAAAACAAAAAAAATGACCATACGCAATCTAAATTTTAAAATTTCTCAATTTTGTTTGTTCCTATATTTATGTGTTAATATATCAGACAAAATTATTTCAATTTTTTTGAGGGGTTCCATGCAAATTTTATTGATTTTTGTTATGATTTTTTTAGATATGATATTAAATAGTTAAATTATAATTGATTTTTTTGGATAAAATGAGAATTTACATATTAAATATCTAAAACAACTTTTTTTTTTGTGTGCGCGCGCTATTTTCACTAACAAATCTGGATACCCTTTAATCAGAACGAAGTTTTACATCATGTATATTAATTAAAAATCTCAAATTAACCAATAATTGTGTCCGAACAAAAAGACAAAGTCAATCCTAGATCCGTGTTTCACGTTGCTTCGTAGATTATTAAAATTCAGTAATCGTACCATATTTCTCTTACCGACGGTCTCTTCCCTACTTTGGGTTATTATTTATATTATATAATATTGTTATTCTTTTTCCAACTTTTTATTAAAAAAAATATTAAATGTAACGAAAGTTATCAAGCCCCAGTGATCATCACGACGAAAACCGTTCTCCCTCTATCAACTTGTCATATGATAAATTAAAGTATTCGGTGATAAGTTGCAGCTAATTACAATAATTGAAAAATGTATATAATCATTCTTCCGTACATCATCCACAACCACAATGGCTAAAACCAGAAACTTCCAATACCGTGGTCGGTCGGTAATGCCAGCGAACACAATATGGGCAGGTTGGTTATATTAGTTTCGCGTTTTTAGTTTGTAAACAAAATTTAATTGAAAAACTTTTGTAAGATAGGATTATATATGGCAATTTCGTAAATGAATAGATTCGATGGAAATTTCGTATAGAGATTGGATATTAATATAACAATTAATTTCGTAAAAACAAAAGGTAATTGCCAAATTATCATCTATTTGGATTGATGGTGATAACCGGATTTTAAAAAACAAAAGCCGGACATAAGAACACTTTATTTTCATTTATCCGAAACCCGTATGAATTGGTTAAATACTATAATTTTCGGGGTAGGGTTTTGGTAAGCCCATAATCAAAATATGCCACGGAGAGTTGTTGCATGGATCTCAGAAAAAACAAGGGTCTGCAGCTCAATTGACCAAAATGCCCTAATACGTAAGTTGCGGTTTGGATTCGGGCTTGGTCTTAACTCTCTTATTCGTCCCGAAGCTTCGATCTGCATGTTGTCCCGACGACGGTCCACAAAATTGCCCTTGGCACGGAACAGTAATTATTCCCTCTTTTAGGGTTCTTTACCAACGGAGCCACTGCATGCATGGCGTCGATGACGTCATCACGTGTCACGATAGTGTATGGACCGCCTCCGAAGAAAATGGCGCCTTCGTTGTTGGGGGTTTTGTCGAATACACATTAATCTACCTAGCTATATCGATGGCAAAAATCAAGTTGACTTACAGCATTCAAATTAAGCAATACATATGTAGTATATATATATGTTTGTTGCGCGTGTAAGTAAATATATAATTGGGTTGCTTTGGGAATATTAATTTTCTTTCATAAAAAAATATTATTTTTCTATAATATACTTGATCATATGCCAATTAGTTCAACATTAGCCTTAGATAAATATGTTGGGATAATTTTAATTTGAGTGTCACCATCATCATCATGACCTTAATTTTCCAAAATTAAAAATATAAAAGAAAAAAAGGATAGGAGGCTCCATCCATCTTTTAAAATTGCGAAAATTAAGATAAAAATATATTTATAATATAAAATATGAATATATATATATATATATATATATATATATTTAAAATTTGCAATTGTAAGAACATATATGCTTCGACTATATATGCAATCACACAAATTTTATTATTCTTCTGCACCCACATACATACATACATACATACATACATACATACATACATACATACATACATACATACATACATACATACATACATACATACATACATACATACATACATACATACATACATACATACATACATACATACATACATACATACATACATACATACATACATACATACATACATACATACACTTATAGGAGTCCATGTAACAAGTATTAAAGAACATAAATATTGAAGCCATACTTCAGATTCATACCGAAACGGCTTAAAAGTTATTACATCTGGTTTGACCGGCTTATTCGATACATAGATATGTCGGTCAAGAACCGGTTACATTGATGAAGAACCGGTTTGAAAAACATTGCAAGAGGTGTTAAACAAAGACAGAGACGAGCTAAACTTCAAAGTCGACCCCTCCAGATCGAAAACCAACAAGTTGTTCTCCATCTGGTACGACCCAATCACCACCGCTTGACTCGGCGAAGCGCCCCCGTCTACGAAAGCCAGGCATGACACGTCATCACTCACCTTCTTCAACGAGTTCGCGCCATACACGCTCCAGATTTTCCCGTTGTCCAGCTTTAGATCGATCCGAGGAACGTTAACCGGACTGCTTGATCTTAGCCGGAGGCATAAACCGAAGGGGCTAACCAGGCCGGCTCTTGGTATTTGAGAAGTCGCTCTGGAGAACTCTCCGAGAAGGAATCTGTAAATGTCGGTTCTCATCGTAGTGTACTGAGTTGTCGTGCTGAGCAAGGTACCTCCTCTGCCGGCAGAATCGAATGCGAAAGTGCTCGGACCGAACCAGCCATCTCTCCCGTTGACGGAAATGTCTCTGAGGCTGATGTAGTTACCGTTTGGGATTTTTTCGTTCAGAATCAACGGAGTCTCCGACGTGGTTATCCTAGAACCCAGAATTGTCCCAGATTTCAACAGATACGGATCGTTTCTAAAGACGAGGCCACCTCTGTTGCCAGGGTTATCGGTAGAAGGCAAACACAGACCGAATATCCTGGACAACCCAGAAGTCGAAGAGGCCAGTTGGTACCCCATGGAGAGAGGCGACCGGGAAAGGCCAGCGACACCGGAAATCCCCGGCGGAAGATCCGGCAAGAACACCGTGGGAACACATAGGACGATTACTTGGGGAACAAGATAGGTGGGTTTTCTAGGGTTTGTGGAGGAGATAGCAATGGTTTCTGTAGTGAGTATGTTCCTCCCACAAGCATCGGTAAACGGGTCGAAGGAGGAGGCGACGCAAGCGCACTGGCCGCGGACATAAGTGTTGTTGGGGACAGGACAAGGGGCTGGACGGAAACTGCGGGAGAGGGGACAGGCGGAGGAGTCGCATGGCACGATGGCGCGTGGGGTGGACTCGCTTTCACAGCGGCGAACCAAGAGAGGGGAATTGATATCGACGAAGTACTTCTCGTCCGAGTTTAGGGTTAGGGTGAAGAGTGGGGGATTAGTGGATGGGGAGATACGAGCAAAGAGGCCGCTTGATTGTTGAGAACGAGCTTCTTGAATGGTCAATGCCACGAAGAACAAGAACAGAGGAAAGAGAATCTTCTCCATTAATTTCCTTAGAGACGCTTCTTGTAATTAGGGTTTGGCGTTTTGATGGGTTTGATTTGAAGATCTAGACGGGTGTTTATATAGACGGAATGATCATAGTGTGTGTGTATATGTATGACGTCAACATTCAATTTCATTTTGCATGGCATCTGTACACATTATTAGATATATGTTTTTTTTTTGGGTAAAATATTATTAGGTATATGTTTGCCTTTAGAGGTGTTTTCATTTCGATTCCCAGTGATTAAAAACAATGAATGTGGTACCTGAATATACTATTAAAAATATTAAATAAGTAAAAATAATAATGAAAACTAAATGGCAAAAAAAATGTTTATCTACCTATAAATAAACATACTTATGTTTGTTGTGCTTAAAATAAATTATATAACAAATGAGAATTAGTTATCTGTCAAAGTGGATCTCAAATTAGAAATAGTCTGTGATCATTTACAAAATCGAAATTAATTAAATTGCTCTTTTAATAAAAAAAGTTAAAAATTGATTTATTATAATAAAAAAATGCTTTATTCTCTTTAATAAATTTTTTTTTGCCCGAGTACCATAACATCCATTGAGATTATTTCAATGCATATCTAACTTTTAGTTAAAAAAAAAAACAAAATAATGAGGGTTAACCAAATTTAGTAAATGCCCCCCATAAGAAAATTATGTTTATCATATGAAAAATAAAATTTGTCCCCGCTAAAAGTTTTACTAGGTCCGCATATACATGATGTATATATATAGATATACAATAATGAGGTTTTTTGCTCTTTTGAGGATGAGACATGAGCTAGGTCTATCGATGGGGGGATTTACAAAAATGACTTTAAATGTCATTTTTACTTCACGTGATAACCCTCACTTTGGAAAAAAAAAAGACAACATCATGTGATAACCTTGTAATAATATACTTCTAAAAATACCCTTCATTTTTTATTTATTATTAAATTTTAAAAAATAAATTTCAACTCTCTCTCCTCTTCCTCCTCTCTCTCTCCTCGTCCGCTTTCTCTTCTCTCTCGTTCAATAGTCTTCACACTCTCTTCATCTCTACTCTTTTTTTAGCTAATTTGTTGCGAAAAAACAACATTAAGCTTGGGCATTTAATCGATTCAACATAAATCTGAATAAAAGGTAAGTATTGTTTCTAAATTTTGTTATTAAGTTTGGACATTTGTGATTTATTATTTTATCATTTTTATATTTAATCCATATAAATATGTTTGAAACAAAAATGACATATACAAAAATGACATATATATGAATATGTTATTCAAACTGGTTGAAATCATTATATTTGTGAAATTCGTTAAAATGGGAGAATTCAGAAAACTGGTAACATATACATGTCGAAATGGTGAGACTGGTCATACTCCTAACTGGTCATACTTGTCAAAATTGGTCAAACTGGTCATATTCGTGAAATTGGTCAAAATGGTCATACTCATCAAACCTGTGACATTTTTCAAGTGTATCATTTTATCACATTTTGTGTTATTTTATACAGGTATAATGGATGCAACTAATGAGAGGATGATGATTATTTATTATAAATCTGATGGCAAGTGGGTAGTAAAATCGATCGGAGCATATGAATGGGAAGGAAAGAAGAATACATGTTCGATAGGTTCAGCCAACATATCATTGTCATAAGATCATGCGGGTGGAATGTATTTCGATTTGTATTTGGTATGACTGGTTTGACCAGAATATGACCGTCTCGACGATTTTGGTAAACGAGTTTGATTATGTAGGTGTAATGTACTTTTAAATTCGTATTTCCGTATTTGTATTTGATATCTCTACTTTGACCATATTATCATATGATTATGTGGGTTTAATGTACTCTTTCAAACCGATGAATCTCGCAATTTCGAATAGGTCTGACCGTCTGACCATGGTATGACCATATGACCGTCTGATCGTCTGACCATTCGGGTACGAAAAAAAAGACCTAAATTAAATTCAAACGATTAGAAAAGTTGTATAAGGGTTATAAGAATACTTTTTCATCGTTTTGGAGTTCTAATTTCGTGTGGAGAAAACAAATCTACCAACATAAGTCAATTGTGTCCAATGTGTTACACAAACACTACTAATAGTTTAGGTCTTCTTTGGAAAGAGTTACTTTGATATCAAAAAAAGATGCTCAATCCATATTGCTACGACCGATTTCAACTAGAGAAATCGATCATACGAGATGATTATTACGATGTTAACACTTTCAAACCGATGAATCTCGCAATTTCGAATAGGTCTGACCGTCTAACCATAGTATGACCATATGACCGTCTGACCGTCTGACCATTCGGGTACGAAAAAAAGACCTAAATTAAATTTAAAGGATTAAAAAAGTTGTATAAAGGTTATAAGAATACTTTTTCATCGTGTTGGAATTCTAATTTCGTGTGGAGAAAAAAAATCTACCAACATAAGTCAATTGTGTCCAATGTGTTGCACAAACACTACTACTAGTTTAGGTCTTCTTTGGAAAGAGTTACTTTGACATCAAAAAAAGATGTTCAGTTCATATTGCTACTACCGATTTCAACTAGAGAAATCGATCATACGAGATGATTATTACGATGTTAACACTTTCAAATCGATGAATCTCGCAATTTCAAATAGGTCTGACCGTCTGACCATAGTATGACCATATGACCGTCTGACCGTCTGACCATTCGGGTACGAAAAAAAGACCTAAATTAAATTCAAACGATTAGAAAAGTTGTATAAGGGATATAAGAATATTTTTTCATCGTTTTGGAGTTCTAATTTTGTGTGGAGAAAAAAAATCTACCAACATAAGTCAATTGTGTCCAATGTGTTATACAAACACTACTAGTAGTTTAAGTCTTCTTTGGAAAGAGTTACTTTGACATAAAAAAAAAAGATGTTCAGTCCATATTGCTACGACCGATTTCAACTAGAGAAATCGATCATACGAGATGATTATTACGATGTTAACACTTTCAAACCGATGAATCTCGCAATTTCGAATAGGTCTGACCATCTGACCATGGTATGCTAACACCTTCATTGCTATATATTTGAAGAACACTTCGAAATCCCTGAAAAAATGGCTCGTGTGACTACATTATGACAGGTATGACCAATTACAAATTGGTCATACTAATCACAAACTGGTCAGACCAATTCAATTTGTCAGACCAATTCAATTAGTCAGACCAATCCAACTGGTGACACTATAAAAGAAATCACCAAATTAATATGTATCTTTGAGGTATCGCCAATCTGTTTATACACCTTTGCATATGTATAAAAAGATCCGGTTTGATGCATTTCTTGCACATCCTAGGACAAGTCGGATCGATACCTTCAACATCAATATACCATCCATTTGCGCCTAAACTTTCGATGCATTCGAAAGGAAGAAACTGCAATATACAAACCAATTCATTATACAATTTCCGAATCTGATCGCTAATCTTAACGAAGGTGTATCTTCTCCAGGGAAACCCTTCACAGAAGTCCAGACTTTCGACCATGTCCACCAAATCACTGTTTAAAACAATACAATTATTGCTAATCTCTTTCTTCGATTTGAAAGTGTTAACATCGTAATAATCATCTCGTATGATCGATTTCTCTAGTTGAAATCGGTAGTAGCAATATGAACTGAACATCTTTTTTTGATGTCAAAGTAACTCTTTCCATTTTTCCTCTCCTTCCAACCTTAATGCACGGTGTTGAATATCCTTGAAAGCGTACACAAAAGGGACCTGCAACAATTAGATTAACTCTCATGATCAGTTTTATTATATTACAATTACGAAACAGACTATGATTACAATAAATCTGGTCATACCAGTGAAGTATGACCACTTCACGGGTCTGACATTTAACCGGTCTGACCATTTCGCTCGTCTGACCACATCACGGGTCTGACCACTTCACTGGTCTACCCACTTCACGAGTCTGACCATTTCACGGGTCTAACCAGACTTCACTGGTCTGCCCACTTTACGGGTCTGACCATTTCACGGGTCTGACCACTTCACTGGTCTGTCCACTTCACGGGTCTGACCATTTCAAGGGTCTGACCACTTCACTGGTTTCTCCACTGCACGGGTCTGACCATTTCACTGGTCTGACCATTTCATTGGTCTACCCATTTCATGGGTCTGACTAATTCGAGTAATATAACCGTCTGACCAAAAAATTCGACTTTCATTAACTATCTTTCTGAAAATCTCTATTTTTCACCTAAAACCCTAATTTTTCTAACCCAAACGACTCGAACATTACTCTATTGGAGTTTAAACCCGAAACAAACACATAAACACAAAGACAAAGAGAGGACGAACGACGCAATCAATTTTTTCGGTGAGTGTACCATACCTGTAGATCTTCTGAAGTAGAAACCGAAGCAGTAACCGAAGGAGAAGCCAAAGATGAAGCCATTTGTGCCGACAGAAGACGATTTTGTAAGAAGAACCCGAGAGATTTGCGCGATTGAAGAAAGAAACCGGATGAGAGGAGAAGACGTTCGTCCGTTGTTTGTTTGAAAATTTGGAAACACAGAGAGTTGTTGTCGTTTCCTGCTTTCCATTGAGTTGCCACGTATTCAATATTTTAAGGGCAAATTAGTCTTTTTATCATTTTAGATTTTTTTTTAAAACCCTAAACCTAGAGGGTCATGTCGTGAAGTCCAAATCGACAAGTTGGGTTATTTTTGCAATTTTGCCCTATCGATGCCTGAAGTTTCAACTTTTCTGTGGGCCCGCTTGGCAATTTGGGTCACACGTCGAACCAAAATAAAAGCTCGAGCTAACCCTTTTTTAGTAATAAATTTAATATTATTAAAGTGTGTTTTGTTCTTTCTAGTAACCTACTTTTTTTTTCGAGATATATTATTCTATCTAAAAATGAATACTCAATTTTTGTATAAAAAATTCGATTTTGATCGATAAAAAATAATTTCTATTTTACTGCATATGTATATTCATAAATATCTCATCCATTAAAACTATATTTTAGTAAAATAATTGTTAAATATTTAATTAATTTGTTAATCTTAAATATTATTAATAATACCGCATAATTTAAATTAATAAATACTAAATAAAAAATGGTTATCTATATATAAATAAACTATTGTAAATTTTAAAATGAATAAAAATTATTCACAAATCAAACCAAAATTCTAACGGATCTTTTGATATCTCTCATAATTTAGACAATTGAGATTAATTAAATCGTCTCCTTAATAACAAAAATTAAACTTTGATCCATTATAATAAAAATAATTTTATTATCTCTAACCATAATTTTAACTATATACCATAGACATTGATTGAGATTATTTTAATTTATAAATTTCAGTTTTAGCAAAAAATAAAAATATCAAACAAATAAGCTATATTTAATTACAGTAGTGAAAAATTAATGTTATTCTTCAGTACAACAATCACAACGGCTTAAACCAAAAGTTAACGTACAATATTGTGGTCTTTCAACCGAGATATAAAGAGTTTGATATCAATTCTTTGTATAAAAAAAATGATAATTTCGTAAATAAAATAGATTGATTGAGAATTTTATAAATAAGCTTGAAAATTTGTAAATAAATAAATTTGATGATAATTTTATAAATAAATTTGATATTAATTTAATTAATAAATAAATCTAATAATAATTCGTTAGATATCGATGCAAAATTAAAGATATAATTACAAAATCTATATATTTGGGGAGCTACTGAATCGAATTTAGAAAATAAAAATCTAAACCCTAATCCATAAATACTTTATTTGTAATATTACCCTGATCTCGTCCAAATCTAAACCATAATCCATCAATGCATATATATATATATATTCATAAATATGTACAGATAAAAGCTTATACGAATACAAATTAATCTAACTAGCTGTATCGATGGGAAAAATCAAGTTGTGCATCGGAGTTACAACAATCAAATTAAGATTGCATATATAGTATGTATGTATGTATATATATAGTTGTTGCGTGTAAGTAAATAATTGGTTTGCTTAGGAATATTAATTTTCTATAATATATTTCACCCAACGCCAATTAATTAAACAGTACCATTAGATAATATGTTGGGATAATTTTAATTTGAGTGTCGTCACCATCGAGAACTTAGTTTTCCAAAATTAAGAACATAAAAGATAGAAAAGATAGGAGGCTCCATCCATCATTTAAAATTGCAAAATTAAGATACATATATATATATATATATATATATATTTATAATATAAAACATGGATTTATAATTATTAGAAATGTGCAAAAGTATTGAATTCTAAAGAGAATTTAGAAATGAAAAAGAAATTTGGGAACAATTTTTATCTTATTCATTACAAAATGTTCATACAAAGTATTTACGCAAACTCAAATCTAAACCGATATTCTCTAATACTCTCCTATAAGATGAAAGTGGTACAAACACAAATGAACCATTAGAACCAAGCTAATCGAATCAAATAACTATGCACCATTGGAAAAGAAGCATGAATATCACAATCAAACCGAAAAATATATCAATGATAGATCGATCCTCGGATAAGTCTCCACGGCTCGAAAAATGACCTCTACAATATGAAGTGAGCCTCCACGGCTCGAGAGAGCGTCTCCATGGCAAGAAGAATGCTTCATTGGCATAATATGAATGTTCTTTTGGAAAAATTTTATGTTTGAGCTTCTTCTTTGTCTCTCTTCTTTATCAAATTCTCATATTTGTTCTTCATGGATTCATCAGTTTCTTTGTTGGTGTTGCTGTGATTTTATTACTGAAGGTCTTTGTACCTGTGGTTGGTTATGTCTCTTCCACAGATTTTGGTTGATTCTCTGATCTTGATGGTGGAGATTTTCTTCGAGACATGGAAGCTCATTTCATGACTTGGAGGCATTTTCAAGCTGTGTTACTCATCACAAAGATCGAAAAATCACGATCGGAATGGACATCGATTGGAAAGACAATGAAGACATGATCGGAAATACATCGATCAAAAAGCGAAACTCGGCTCGAAAGATGAAACCGAGGAATGGCGATATGGAAAGAGAATCAATTAGAGAAACTTTGAAGTTCAACCGACAAATCAAATCAAACCAGAGAGAAAATGACAATCAACGTAACTCTTGAGAATGTGGGCGACATCAACAAATGATCAACAATCGTCGGAGGCAAATGATCTAGATCTGGAAGACTGAGATGCAAGAAGATGAAGCTGCGAAGAAATCTGAAGTAGACAATGGATATGATGAAGAGAAAAACACACCAAGCAGATCGAGAGAGGACATGAAACTTCGAACACAAATGCTAAACCGATACTCCAGATCTGAAACTGAGGATAGCGGATCTGAGAACCAAACTGGATAAACCTATTGAATCGATTCTGCAACGGAGTGAGCCGATGCTTATCGACAAACTTGCGGAAGAAATTGCATCCGCCATGGAATCAGTGTAGCAGCGAAGCATGGAGAAATCAGAGAAGAAATTTAAAGGGAAATCAATGAAGACTAGAAAAGAAAATGGAGATCAAATCTGACGAATCGAAGGGAATATTTAGATCTGTTTTGTGAAGAAAAAGAGATTCAAATTTGGGAAGAAGAAGGAAATCAAAGAGACGAAATCTCCACACCATCGAGGAACTCACACTCCGATACCATATTGAATTCTAGAGAGAATTCAGAAATAGAAAAAAAGATTTGGGAATAATTTGTGTGTTATTCATTACAAAATGTTCAAAGTATTTACGTAAACTCAAATCTAAATCAAATCAATCTAAACCGAAAATTAAACCAAATGTTAAACCCATATACTCTAATAAAGAGTAAGAACATATATATGCTTCGACTATATATGCAATCACACAAATTTCATTATTCTTCTGCTCCCAAGAACATACATATATACATACGGGTTTTTTTACTCAAATGACCCACTTGGATCGCACATATTTCACACGTACACCACAAAAAACATAACACATTAATTTTTTTTGAAAAGACGAAATTACCCTTAATGAATACACGATATTTATCCGTTCGAAAACAACTTCGTTATTACGACTTCGTAATTAATTCTAAATATAGTTACAATTGATTCTAAAAAAAGTGGCAAAAAAATCATCTGTCTTATTTTAGTTGTATATCAGTTATATATTAGTCGTAATAAGGTCGCAAAAAATAAAAAGAAAAGGGTATTTCGGACTTTTTCAACCGAAAAGTGGGTTAAAATTGAAAAAAAAAATTTTGTTTTTTTTTCGGTGGTATACGCTGAAATAGCTGCGACCCAAATGGGTCATTTGAGTAAAAAACCCCATACATACATACATACATACATATATATATAACAAGTGTTAAAGAACATAAATATTGAAGCTATACTTCAGATTCAAACTAAAATGGCTTATAAGTTATATCTTATAAGTTATTACATCTTATTTCATCGGTTTATTCGGTATATAGATATGTCGGTCTAGAACCGGTTACCGATCAAGAACCGGTTTGAAAATCGCTGCAAGAGGCGTTAAACAAAGACAGAGAAGAGCTAAAGCCCAAAACCGACCTCGCCAAATCGAAAACCAACAAGTTGTTCTCCATCTGGTACGACCCAATCACCACCGTTGGACTCGGCGAAGCGCCCCCATCTACAAAAGCAAGGCATGCCACGTCATCACTCACCTTCTTCAGCGAGTTCGCGCCATACACGCTCCAGATTCTCCCGTTGTTCAGTTTCAGATCGATACGAGGAACGTTAAAACTGTTTTGGACCGGACTGTTTGAACTTAACCGGAAGCATAAACGGAAGGGGCTAACCGGGTCGGCTCTTGGTATTTGAGAAGTAGCGTTGGAGAACTCTTCGAGAATGAATCTGTAAATGTCGGTTCTTAATGTAGTGTACTGAGTTGTCGTGCTCAGCAAGGTACCTCCTCCGCCGTTTGAATCGAATGCGAAAGTGCTCGGACCGAACCGGCCATCTTTTCCGTTGACGGAAATGCCCCTAAGGCTGATGTAGTTCCCGTTTGGTATCCTGGAGTTCAGAATCAGCGGAGTTTCGGACAAGATTCTAGAAGAATCCAGACTTGCCCCAGATTTCAACATGTACGGACCTTTTCCAAAGAAGACGACTCCTCTGTTGTTGGCATTATCGCTAGAAGGCAAACATAAGGCGAATTTCCTAGACAACCCGAGATTCAAAGAGGACAGTTGGGAAGCCGTGGACAGAGGTGACCGGGAAAGGCCCGCAACGCCGGAAATTCCCGGCGGAAGACCCCCCAAGAACACCGTGGGAACGCATAAGACGATGACTTGGGGAACAAGAAACGTTGGATTTCTAGGGTTTGTGGAGGAGACGGCAATGGTTTCTGTAGTGAGAAGGTTCGTCCCACAAGTGGCGGAAAAAGGGTCAAAGGAGGAGGCGACGCAAGCGCATTGGCCGCGGACGAAAGTGTTGTTGGGGAGAGGACAAGGGGCTGGACGAAAAAGGCGGGAGATGAAGCAGGCCGGGGAGGCGCATGGGACGGTGGCGCGTGGGGTGGAGTTTCCTTCACAGCGGCGAACCAAGAGAGGGGCTGTGATGTCGACGAAGTAGCTCTCGTTCGAGTTTAGGGTTAGGGTGAAGAGTGGGAGACTGGAGGGTGGGGAGACACGAGCAAAGAGGGTCTGAGAAGAGGCTTCTTGCGTGGTTATTAATGCCATAAAGAAGAAGAGCAGAGGAAAGAGAATCTTCTCCATTTTTCTTAGAGAAGCTTGTCTTGTATAATTAGGGTTTAGTACTGTTTTGATGATCTAAACGGGTGTTTATATAGACGGAACGATCATTATAATGTGTATATATATATGTATACTTGCCTGCATTATCAATAAAATGGTACAGCGTCAACATTTAATTTCATTTTAAATAGCATTTATAAACATCACGAGGCACATTGTTAGATATATGTCGCCTTTAGAGTTTTTTTTTTTCATTTCGATTCCAAGGGATTGATAACAAATACTGCGGGAATTCAGCGAATATATATATTTTTTTCTCAGGGGGGTTGAATTTTATGCATTTGATCATCTTTCTATAGCTTTGGTTCAAAATTTCGTATAATTCATAAATTATGCAAGTTAATATCTCCTCATTTAAAAACATATCATTGATCCATATATATAGGAATGTATGTATGTATATATAGATATACAATAATGAGTTTTTTTTTTCTCTTTTGAGAATGAGACATGAGCTAAGTAGGTAGCCCCACAATTTTTGAAGATCATTAAGTTTCAAATTTTCTGTGGCCTCATTTGGCAAATTTGTGTCATACTTTGGACCAAAATAAAAGCTCGAGCTAACTCTTTTGTACTAATAAATTTAATCATTAAAGATGTGGCTCATTCTTTCCAATAACCTACCTGTTATTCGAGATATTTTAATCAATTTCAAAATGACTTTTCAAAAATATTTTATATAAAAAATTTCAATTTTGATTGATAAAAAATCAATAAAAGAATAGAAAACAATAAATAAATGATATATTTCTAGTCTGATACATATGAATATTCATTAAAGATAATCATCCGTTAAAAATAAACTTTAACATATTTTAATAAAATTAATATCATTTTTCGGTAATCACATCGTCTAAAACCAAAATATTGGTTATCCTTTTAGAGAAAAATAGTAAACATTTTGATATCAATTCTTTTCTTGTGTCAGGATGATAATTTTGTAAATAAAATAGATTGGTCCAAATTTTTTGTTATTAAGGCTGAATTTTTTAAATAAATAAATAACATTGATGATAGTTTTATAATAATTTTATAAATAAATAAATATAATAATATTAATTAAATATCCATGAAAAACTAAAGATTATAATAGCAAAATAATTATACATCTGGAGAGCCGTTGTGAACCGAATTTTAAAAATAAAAATCCAAACCCTAGGCCATAAATTCTTTATTTGCATTACCCAAATTACTAGAGTACTAGAACATTCGATAGGGTTTGGCAATTGGATAATTTGCAAACCCTAATCTAAAACAGTTTGCCAACCCCTAATCCGAAACATCGCCTAACTAACATAACACTTCATAATCATATCTGTCAACATATGTCCCAGAGGGGAAACATGACTTTTATGATGTTTGTTGCATTTGACAGTAATGGATCTTACAATTAAGTAAAATGGGCTTAATCAGGGTTTAAGTATGGTTACAAAAAGAATAAATGCAAATGATCGAAGAACAACACAACAGAAACAAAGCAACCATAAAATTAATTTGGTGGTGAATGGCCAAAACATCAATCATCTTCTCTCTAAGATTCGGTTCCTACTCTGTTGCAGATTCTGTATGAGCTTTATCAGGTAAACTACCATTCGATCTATAGAGTTAGAGATGCCACTACTTACGTGATGGTCACTTCTATTGTTGAACCATTTCCATTGCATTCTCTGTTTCTCTGTTGGGTGTGAATGGATGCACGGCCCGGGAGAAGAGGGTTCTCAAGGACGTGACTTGTTGGCCGAGAAACATTTCCAACGGGTTGAGCAGAAACTGCAACCTCTCTTGAATCCAGAGAATGTGAAGAATGGCGAGAGCTATAGCGAAAGAGACTCCGGTTATCATAAACAAACCTCGAAACCTGTAAAGGGTCAGAGGATCTGATGCATCATCGGTTGTGTAGGGAAGTTCTTTCATAAACCACCTTTTCTCCATGTCATTCAGCCTTTGGCTTTCCCTTAGGCTTGCGATTTCCCGAGACACGTTATGGACCAACTCTGAACCTTTAGGGAACATCTGTCATTAACAAATGAGTTTCTGTCAGAAAATAAGAAAAACAGCGTCTATAGCCAGTGATGAAGGGAAACTTTCATTTCAGTTTCTGTAGAGATAACCCATCTTACATTTGGTATCATGTCGACCAGAAGTTTTCACAGAACAGATTCATACAATAAAAAAGGAACTAGTTATGTAGAAGCCATGTATTTATGTCCTAACCATCAGTTACCTAACCATCAGTTACGCCATTATGTTTCTGGATAAAGAAGTATAAGATGAAAGAGATACATACAAATCCGAAGCCGTTGGTGGTGGTTTGTGTTTTAACCATGAGAAAATCTGCGGGATTCTCACCGAGGAGGACTTTAAGGTACGGCATCTCATCGACTACATATGACACAGTTCTGTTCAACAAAGCTTGAGCATATTCGTCGGATGTATTAAGACCCCTGTATCTTGAGGTTCTGAAGGTAGAACTGTCAAGAACCACCTTTGCGATGACTGAGCCAGAAAGGTGGCCAACGTAGTTTTGATTCGACTTGTACCGTATTTGCTGGATAGTCATCATCGATGTTAAAGTCGCAGTGTAACTTGAAGTCAGTATAAGAACTGCAAAGACCCAAACTATAACAACGAATCTCGACAAATTATGTTGCAGCCTCTCCCCTGTCATGAACGGTAAGCAGAAAACGTCAGGATGATTATATACACCAGCAATCCGGTGCATTTTTTTTCATGCCAAACAACATAGGCAGGAAATGTATTGCTAAAGTATTGAATCTTGTGAGTTTATTGAAATGCAGTACCATCTTCAACGTGACATGTTTTCCAGTGCTCGGATTTCAGGCCATGATCAAGTGTTTGACATTAAGAATGGTGGGGATTAATGCAAAATACGGAATATGTTAACGTAAATGTAGAGCTTACTGTGAGCATAAACGAGGGTAGAAAACCCAAACCAGAGCATCATTCCAATCTGTTGAGACCATGAGCCTTGGAACTCAGTATTAGCAGGCCGTTCTATCAACCAAACTATAATGCCCGTCAACACGAAGAAAGCTGCACTTGTAAACCAGAGGCCTGGTGTAAGAGGCTCAAAGAAAACCCACATGCTTTTGTCCTTTGGTGCCACAATTCCAAGACCAAAGTCGGTGAATGGTATCGTGAAATCAACATACAAAGATCGGTTGGCAGTGATTGTGATATCCCCGACAGCCGCGTCATATTTGTGTTTCTGCAGAGTAGAGATTGCAACAGAACGTTCTTGGACCAAAAAATCAAATGTAATATAATTTGATTTCCTACTTGATGGATTGAATGAATGAATAGAAGCACAACTAGGATGGCTAAGTTTGGTATACTAGATTCATTAATGGAGAGCATACCTGACTATTGACTGCATAAGCAAGATTGTTGTAATTACTTCCATTACGCCAAGGTATGTACTCCAGTTCGTAGTTGAAAGTGGCAATGGCAGCTTCGAAAACTTCTATACAGAACCCCTTTGCAGTTGTGACACCTGTTAACGGATCAGTATGCACCTCCATCAATCTCGGGAATCTGTTACTCGATGTAACGAGAACCCTGAGCTTTTCCCTCCTTCTATCCTCCAGACAACGGTCTTTCGGGGTTATAGAAGACCCTCCAGGCCAGATGATGGTTCCAAGCTCATTGGTGGAAGAAAAATGTCTTCTATTGCAGAAACTGTCAGAAATCCAGAATCCCACCCTTCTGTCACTGGTCCCTATGATGTTCACGATCTCGTACTTGTCTGCGAAAAGCTTTTTGTCGACAAACTGGACATCACCACTCAAGCCCTTGAACTTGTTTTGTGTAATTGCCTCAAGAAGTGCTGATACATTTGCAGGATGTGATGAGCCTAGCAGCCTTGATATCTCTGCTGCTCTTGCTAGATTACAAGCAATATCGTGGCCCCATATACCGAAGATGCTCAAACCCTTTATTTCCGTTGTAACTTCTTCGACGGGCAATGTTCTTCTCCATCTCAAAGTAAAATCGTAAAGCTCTTTTGATACTGGAACATAAGACCTGAAACCAACCACCCCTTCCATCGATTCCTTCACAAAATGGTCGGTGTAATGCATATCATTCATGGCTTTTGCGGTGAGGATCCAAGCATATCCTTCCTCCATCATTCCTAAGTTCCCAGCACATGGGAAGAGACGAGATGCAAGATGCTCGGACATGTGCGTGACAAAAATCTTCATTCCTGTCCATCTGGTACGACCCAATCACCACCGTTGGACTCGGCGAAGCGCCCCCATCTACAAAAGCAAGGCATGCCACGTCATCACTCACCTTCTTCAGCGAGTTCGCGCCATACACGCTCCAGATTCTCCCGTTGTTCAGTTTCAGATCGATACGAGGAACGTTAAAACTGTTTTGGACCGGACTGTTTGAACTTAACCGGAAGCATAAACGGAAGGGGCTAACCGGGTCGGCTCTTGGTATTTGAGAAGTAGCGTTGGAGAACTCTTCGAGAATGAATCTGTAAATGTCGGTTAAGCATTCTTATGCACAATGTGGATACCGTTCTCTTGGAGATGCCCCACCAAGAATTGCATGCTCTCTCTCCAGTCATCATCATCCTCATAGAGAATGACAATGCTTCTCCAATCAAAACGATGGATGAAAGCCGTAATGCCCTTTGCCTCGGATATGGGATCATGCGTGGCTTGAAGGAAGTAACTATACTTGTTCGAGGATAACAAGCTTGGCACATGAAGCGAAACCACAGGAACTTTAGCTTTCTCCCCAAGCTCCGCCAAAAGCTTTGCTTCGAGCAACGATTGCCCACCAATGATTGCTTCCACTTTTTCATTTTGCAGGAGATTCACAGCTGTTTCATACAGAGATAAATTGTTGGATCGTCAACATCCAAAGCATGCAACTACAAAGTACCATGGTTCAATTTGGCCTTATGTGCACATTCAGATATCCCACAACGAAATCAGAAATGGACAGCTAGTGAAAATCAATTTTTCTGAAAAACTTTCAAAGAAAGAGATTTTTGGAAACAATGTAATAACAACAACATAGAAACAACTACAAGAACAAGCAAACAAAAGATACTCTCCAAAACTCAGTGAACTCTCCCATTTTCTGCGGCTCTGACTCTAGTTTTTCCTTGCAAGGGATCTCATCCAACAATATTCTTGGAGATCAATGAGAAGAGAAACTCATTCCGATCCAGCTGAAGACATCAGGATTAAAGAAAGCACAGGTCAAGAAAGTACAAGTACTTCTAGAGACCTGTGCTTTCTTTATCAGGTATCGTTTGAGGCATATTTTGAGCTCTCTCTCTCTATCTCTACCGTTAACAAAAACCAGAACCTAAAATCTTGTTCTTTTTCCTATCTCTTTCATGTGCTCTGCTCAGGCTTTCTTGTTCTTTTTCTATCATAACCCCACATTTGTCTCAAACTAACGTTTTTGGTGTTAACCAGAGACCCAGAGTTTAACCTAAGGTGCAAAGCTATGCCTTATCAATGGTTACTTCAACAACCTTGTGTGTCTGCAATTTCAACATCTTGACAAATCCAAACTTTGCAATTTTTTCAGCATTTTTAAGCATTTTGTACTTCAATACTTTCATGTTCATCAACATCTATCTCTATTAAGTGCTTCAGGAGTAAAAGGGGCTTCCATTTCCAAGAAAAAGAAGAAAGCCGACGACTACATCTAATCACAAAAAAAAAGCTCAAGACAGCAAATAAAAACCAACCGCACATTCCCAAACAGATAGATAACAAAGAAGGACAACATAAAGAACACAAGCATTGACTGTGACTTACCAGCAGCAAGAGCTAGGAGAGGCTCTCCATGGGAGTTTCTAACCAAAACAGAGACTCTTGTTCTGTATCCTCTGTTAACTTTGTAGAAATCTGAGAGCGCCATTGAGATGGAGCTTCTGACGATCTTTCCTTCCATGGAATCCATGTCCAACACCAACCCAACTCGAACTTCTTCGTGGGCCGAAGTTCCATTTACATTGTCGTTCTGATGAGCTTCACCAGTTTCAGAAATTCCATACAAAGGAGACAGTGAGCCAAAGATAAGAAGAAAAATAAGAAGACATGACTGAAGAATTCGGTTATGAATCCTATGTTTCTCCATAAAGGTTAAGTTTTTCGTGTAGGACAATGGTGATATCATCACCATTATTGCCTGCAGAGAATATAAATCAAGATTAGAAAAAACACAGATGTTGACTTTCATGGAATATCATGATTCCTAGGAAAGGCATAGGTCAACTTTAAGAATGAAAAAGAAAATTCAAATAAAATAGGTTTTTTTCCTAATTTGGGAAATTGCAATGAAATTTTTGGTTTGTAAAGATAGGCTGACTTTTAAGCAGTTGTAGTTCTGGATACTACAAAATTTGTCGGTAAGAACATTTCAAACGCTACATCAGAACAATGCCTTTGAATGGTCAAAGATATGAATCTGAAAGAAAACAAAAGCTTTAAGTCGTCGTGAAAAAGTCAACAGTCTTACATGCTAGAAGCCTTGAAGAAGGAAACATGGCGTTTACTCAGTCCATGTTAACTGCTGTGTCGAACTAGTCAGCTTTTTCTCTTTCTCCTGTCCCGTTGCTATCAAGCTTTGGCTTTCACTCAGAATGTTATAATATTCGGCTAGGAATATATATTAGTTTAGCTCTGCCTTGTATATGACCATCTTTGACAAATGGGTTCAGGAAAAATAACAGTTCAATGATCCGACCTGTAAGCTGCAGAGACATTAGTTAAAAAACGGCTCGGTAGGCGGGGACTCGATGATCCTAGAGGTTTGAAGTTACTGGTTAAGATGTCTCGAAAGGAATGGTTGGATGATTAGATAAGAAGTATTAGGTGAAACACAAAAGCAAAAAGAAGCCTTTAAGATTTGTCTCGTGTAAACAGATTTAAGCTCCATAAAGAATCGACCTTTAGCAGAAGTTTCAGGCAAAAGACTTTAAGGCTGTACATTATTCACACGACAAGCAGACCTACCAATTCCATCTTAGCATAACGAGGAAGAATCTCGAGCTTCAATACCCCTGAACAAATGCTTCGACTGTCTAAAGTAGACAGAGATTATAACCATCCCTGGTTCCACAGATGAAACCCATTTGCATTCTCGGCTTCTCTGATGGGTAAGTCCACAATGATCAGCTTTTCCTCCCTTGCTCCCGTAGCTGTCAAACATTGAGAAAGGATGAGTGTCAAACAGGAATGCACCTGCAATAGGAGAATGCAAATATGCAATTTCACATGGCCACTCCAGGCCTTGGAGAAACAGTTCATTATAGAAAGAGAAAAGAACGTCGTGGTATTGGCTTCACAGTTTACTTCCACAATTAGCAATGACCACTTTAGATCCCAGCACCAATTTGCAGGCCAATATCTTTCCCGGAAACATCCAAAGCAAAGGCTTTGTTAGCACATCCTGAAAAGAATACCATATTTGTCGTAAACCCAATTGGTCACTTCAGTTTTGTATGCTGAGCCTGGGAATTAATCTATATAGATGAACATAATTGATTGCAAGGTTTGGATAATCTATGTGAAGATGATACTTTCTATTAACTTCAGTGTATTATACTGGACAAAATCTTGTACGTTACAGCTATAATGGTTGCCTTTATGATAACAGCGCTTACAGTCACTCTTTTAGCCAATACAACTATTCCAACACTAATATCACAATTGTGGGTTCTCCTACTTCCAACAGAAAGGTAAATGATCAGATACTTGAAAGGGATATTTCTTGCGTGATCCCACTGATGAATGCAGAGAAACAACAGGAAGGAGTGCGGTACCATCTAGCCCGAGATTTCGGGTTCCCTGTTGTGTATATTTGGGGTGGTCGGAGATCCGGGATGAATAGCTCTTGCACAAAGTCTTCTCAAGGACCCAAGTTGATAGTCGGTGTATATGTAGAGAGCTTTTGTAAAGACTTTCCATTTCTTCGAGAGCCAGGGAGCTAGAAGCAAGGTGAGGGCCAAACCGAAAGAAACTCCAGTGATAATAAACAAACCGCGGAACTTGTAAAGGGTGAGCGGGTCAGATGTGTCCTCTGCTGTAGAGGCTGGTTGTCTTTCCAACCACCAGTTTTCCATGGTTTTCAGCTTTCCAGTTCTCCTCAGCTTCGCAATTTCTTGTGACACGTTTTGTGCCAAATGAGAACCTTTCTGGAACATCTGAAGTCAAAATTGAATATTTGTCAGTAACTAAGAGACCACTCACTCTGTTTTCCAGACTTCTGAATATATGCCAGAAAACGCTAGAGGGGAGGAAGATGATAGGCATCGCTATACTTACAAAGCCAAAGCCGTTGGTAATGGTTTCTCTTTTTACCAGGTATAAGTCTTTGGGATATTCTCCAAGTATGACCTTGAGGTAAGGGAGCTCATCAATGATAAATGAGACGGTTCCATTCCGCAAAGCACTCGCATAATCGTCTGATGCACGTAACCTGTATCTTTGACCTTGGAAGGTGGAATTAATCAAAACAACATTTACAACAAGTGAACCAGAAAAGAATCCGACGTAATTCTGGCTTGACCTAAATCGTATCTGTTGGACTGTCATCATTGATGTCAATGTTGCAGTATAGTTTGAAGCCAATATAAGAACTGCAAAGACCCAAACTAGAACCACAAATTTTGACAAGTTCTTTTGCAGCCCCTCCCCTGTCAAAGAATATTAACAGAAAAAGGGTTAGTTTTCTAATGACAGGTAAGCAATAAGGGTCATTCTCTTTCATCTCACTCCTAACATTTTTCAGCTACATGCCAAGACAAGCATCAACTCCGTTAAAAACTGTTCCAGTCGTAATGAATCTTGCAAATTTATGAGAAACAATCGGATCTCTGTGAGCCCGTGATGAGATATCAAACAACTTAAAGTGTTCAACAATCCAAATGGTGGTAGATTTACGCATATTACTGGAGGTTGTTATGTAAAAGTACTTACTGTGAGCGTACACAAGGGTAGAGAATCCGAACCAGACAATTGTTCCAATCTGCTGGAACCATGAACCCTGGAACTCAGTATTATCAGGTCGTTCTATCAACCAAACTATACTCCCCACCAAGAGGAAGAAAGCTGCAGTGGTTAGCCAAAGGCATGGAGTAAGAGGCCTAAAGAAAATCCACATGCTTTTGTCCTTCACAGCCGCAACTCCAATACCCATCTCAGTGAACGGTAATGTAAAATCAACATATATAGATCTGTTATCAGTAATTGTGATGTCCCCGACAGCAGCATCATACTTGTCTTTCTGCAAAAGAAATGCAACAAACAATTATCAGAATCAGATTAAAGTCACCAAGGAAGTTTCTATCCAAGGTAAAAGAACTTCCAGAAGTCAAGCAATCTTCAAAAACATCATTTTGAATGTCCCGCCTTGTAATAGCCTTATCGTAGGTAGCAAACACCATTTTGCTGGAACGATTGAACATGAATACAAGCCATGGAATGACTAACTCCACTGGTTGCAACAAATTATACCTGGCTATAGACAGCATAAGCAAGATTGTTGTAATTACTTCCGTTACGCCAAGGTATATACTCCACTTCATAGTTGAAAGAGGCAATGGCAGTCTCGAAAACTTCTATACAAAATCCCTTGGCCGTCGTGATACCTGCTATTGGATCAGTATGCACCTCCACCAGTCCTGGAAACTTGTTGCTCGAGGTAACGAGAACCCTGAGCTTTTTTTTCCCTCTATCTGCTAGACAACAGCGTTTTGGAGCTGTAGAAGATCCACCGGGCCAGATGATGGTCTCCAGCTCATTGGTAGAAGACAAGTGCCTTCTATTGCTGAAACTTCCAGAAGTCCAGAATCCCACTCTTCTTTCACCCGTTCCTATGATATTCACTATTTCGTACCTTTCTGCGGAAAGCTTTCCATTGATGAACCGGATGTTGCCACTCAAACCCTTGAAGTCACTGTGTGTAATTGCCTTAAGAAGAGCCAATGTATTTGAAGATGCTCCAGTTTCAGTAACATTAGAACCATGATCATGGGTTATTGGACCTGACAAACTCGATATCTCTGCTGCTCTCGCTAGGCTCCAAGCAATATCATGCGCCCATATTCCAGAGATGCTCAACCCATTTATTTCTTCCCCAGCATCTTCAAAGGGTAACGACCTTCTCCACCTCATAGTAAAATCGTAAAGATCTTTTGACATTGGAATATAAGACCTGAAACCAACCACCCCGTCCATCATCTCCTTCACAAAAACATCCTTGTAATGGAAAAGATTCATGCTTTTTGCGGTGAGGATCCAGGCATAACCTTCTCCCATCATTCCTAAACTCACGATACATGGGAAGAGATGAGAGGCAAGATGTTCAGACACATGCACAGCAAAAACACTCGGTCTTGAGTAGTTGAACTTTTGCAGCTCTTCTGTTATGTAATCTTCCCCAGACGAGACTGCAAAAGCGATCTTATGCACAATGTGGATGGCATTCTCTTGCAAGAGTTCTACCAAGGGTTGCATGCTCTCTCTCCAATCATCATCATCCTCGTAGATAAGAACAACACTTCTCCAGTCAAAACGTCGGAGGAAAGCGGTAATGCCCTTTGCTTCAGATGCTGGATCATGTGTGGCTTGAATAAAGTGACTATATTTCTTCAACGATAACGAGATAGGCGCATGAAGCGAAATCACAGGAACTTTAGCATTCTCCCCGAGCTCAGCCAAAAGCTTTGCTTCGAGCAATGATTGCCCACCAATGATTGCTTTCACTTCTTCATTTTCCAGGAGATCTAGAGCTGTTACAGACACAAATAAGTAATCGGATCGTCACATAAAAATGGGAAAGAAACCTAAAAAAAGAAATGTAAATAATTAATTTTTGTTCAGAAACAAAGCGTCAACAACGCAAAAGAAAAATAGCGAAAAAAACATCCAAACAATAAACAATATCTCCATATTTCACGGAACTTCTCTAACTTACTGTCTTCTGGGTCTCCACTCTTCAGCTCTGTTTTCCTTGCGACCGATCTCGTCAAACAAAATTCTAGGGGAACTATGAAGAGAATCTAATTCAAACCACTTACGTCTATGGAAACCGGAACCCAGAAACGAAATCACAAGTACTTCTACAGAAATCGGAAGCCAGAAGATGAAATTACTTCAACAGACCTGTGTTTTCATTCTCAGGCTAGGGTTCTGATTTGGGGCCAACCTGTATGTTTCCCACGTCACTGATATCTTTTTTTTTTTCTTTTTCAGTTTTTCTTTTGCCGCGTAAATCGGTTTTTGGAGGAAAAATATCTTCATAACCCCACATTTTCCCGAAACTAACGTTTTTATCCCCAAACGTTTTAGAATTTCACAAGACACCCCAGTGTATTTCACTTGCAACCTTGTATACAGGAATTTCATGTGATTGCCAAGAAAACTTGTTTAAAAATACCCATGATCTTAAGATTCGTTTGCATCAATTGACAATAATCTTTAGCAGAATCAAACAATCATGTTCAGTTTTTATCCTTATGTTCGGTTTCGTCTTTTTTGTCAATAACCCAGATACGAAAATAAGAACATCCTCGTACTCAGACAACAAACACCAGAAGAAACACACACACACACACACACACACCCTTTGGATGGACTGGACACACCTGAAGCAAGAGCTTGGAGGGGCTTTCCACGGGAGTCTCTAACAGAGAGAGAGACTCTTGTTCTGTAGCCATTGTTGGTGCTGTAGAAGTCATTCAGCGCCATGGAAACAGAGCTTCTGACCATCTTTCCCTCGACGGAAGCCATATCCATAACCAACCCGACTCGAACCTCTTCGTACCCCGAACTCCCATTGGTTCGGTGAGCTTCACCGGCCTCGGGAGTTCCGTACAGAGAAGAAGCCACTGAGCTGAAGGTGAGAATAAGAAGAAGAAGAAGAGTGAGAAGAATCCTACACTTGTTCTTCACCATAACGACTGTATTTTTTTTCTAATCATTAAGCCAACTGGGCCATTGAGTATATCATCATCATTATCGGCTGTCTGCATGAAATATAAATGGAGATTAGTTTAAATAAAATGCAGTGGAGAGACTTCGTCATCAGTCAACGTTTAACGACAATACGGAAGGAGAATGAGAAGATTTTTTTTTTTGGTCTTTTCTCTTCTTCTTCTTCTTTTTGTTTTTTTTAAGGGAAGAAAGAAATGGAGAGATGTTGGTTGATTTAAGTTGACTTTTATGCAAATCATGCAACTCTACGGCAACACTGCCCCGACAGAATTGAATGAAGAGTTATTATCAATGGGGCAACAGTGTGTGTGTATATATATATAAGGTTAAAAACTAATAAAAATATATTGCAACACAAATAATAATGCAAGCATTATATAATTGAATTTTACGATTTTTTATTTTTTTTTAATTTATTCACAATCACTTGTTTGAATATCGATAAAACAAATTAAATTATCATCGTATCATTCAAACCAATTTGTTTGAATATCGATAGATTAATTTGAAATTTAATATATGAATGATTAGAATTTTATCATTCTCTTGAAATATATTTTGAATTTTTTTCCCATTAATTTATCTGGCGGATCAAATACAAAATTAACTTGTTAAATCAATAATATCTATAAATTATTTATTTTAAGATGCAGCTTGGTTTTAATATCGAGACTTTAAATTGAATTCATAAATTATCAATGTGGCGGGTGACTCAAATTATGACGAAGTGGGCCCGCCCCTGATTTATTATCTTCCGCACAATCATTTTGAATGGTCAAAGATAGAGCCTGCGATGGTGCGATTTGAGCCGTCTTTCTGACGAAACTGGTCAGTCTCCGCTTCTTCTTCTGGTCACACTCAAACAGAAGCTACTGCCGTGCAACACAAGGCAACTATTACCGTTAATTTTCTCCGCGGAGACCTGTCTTTCATATGAAACAGATACGTTTTCTAGAACCTTGTTGGGTTACTGTTGCAATTCACAGTAGACAGATCCCCAGTCACAGCAAAGGGCTAAGTTCGAAGATGATGATAGTATACAACAATATTTATTATCAGGGAGAAAGTCCATTAGAGGGCTAACCTTGATGAACCATCTGGACAGAATTATCATTCTCCCTGCTCGGTGTATTAGCAATGGCGGGAGGCCTACGATGAACAGCTCGCGCCGCCAGGAGAATTCCGAGGAACCTCAGCTTATGGGTAACATAGATGTAGAGAAATTTCAGCTTACGTTTCAATCTCTCTTGAAGCCGGAGAACGACAAGTGTGGCGAGGGATGAGGCGAAAGCAACTCCCGTGATCATGAACAGACCTCGGAACTTGTGAACGGTGAGAGGATCGTATGCCTCGTCGGTTATAAGGGGCGGTTGTTTGTGGAACCAATATCTCTCTATCTCTTTCAGCTTTTCTGTCCTCCTTAGCTTTGCGATTTCTCGGGACACGTTCTGAGCCAAAGAGGAGCCCTTCTGGAACATCTGAAAAAACCCGAAACAAATTTAAGGGAATATACTCAGTTTTGCCAAAAGCTAAAGATGGAAACTTTATCGAAATGATGGGAAGAGGGCGATGTTGTATACATACAAACCCGAAGCCGTTGGTGATGGTTTCAGTTTTGACAATGTAGAGGTCTCTGGAATTGCTTCCGAGGAGGACCTTGATGTACGGGAGCTCATCAATAACATATAAGACAGTCCCATTCTGTAAAGCTTTCTCATAATCAGCAGACGTATTGAGACCCTTGGCTTTCAATAAATTAGTTGATTCATTGAAGGTAGATTTGTTCAGAACAAACTGTGCGATTGACGAGCCAGATAGGAAGCCGATGTAGTTCTGATTTGATCTGAGTCGTATCCGTTGGAGCGTCATCACTGATGTCAAGGTTGCTGTGTAATTCGAAGTCAATATAAGCACTGCAAAGAGCCAAACTATGACCACGAATCTCGACAAGTTATGTCGCAGCCTCTCCCCTGTCAAAGCATGTGAAAGCAAAAAAATAAAAAAAAGTTGGGACTCTTATCAATATGTTAGAAACAGGTGAATACAAAACTGCATTCTTTTCATGCTAAAACGGAAACCAACTGCATTGGCATTGAAACTGTTTCATAACCTATCAAATCTTGTGAATTTATGAATTCCACCGAATATTCCACTCTCCTTGTGTATTGTATGAGAGGTTAGAAAGTGAATTCGGGTGCTTACGGTGAGCAAAGACAATGGTAGAGAAGCCAAACCAGAGCATTGTTCCAATCTGCTGAAACCAGGAGCCCTGGAACTCATCATTATCAGGCCCTTCTATCAACCAAACTATAGCCCCTGTCAAGAAGAAGAACGCTCCTGTTGTCAGCCAGAGCTCTCGAGTGAGAGGCTTCAAGAAAATCCACATGCAATTGTCCTTTGCAGCAACGGCTCCAAGACCCATCTCAGTGAACGGTATTGTGAAGTCGACATACAAAGATCTGTTATCAGTAATTGTGATATCCCCAACAGCTGCATCGTATTTGTCTTTCTGCAGAGGAAATGAAGCAAAATGTAAAAAGAATGATCGGGATCTTCAAAGTAAGTGGCCATGATTCCCCACACTTGCACCATTTGTAGGATTATTAAACCACTAGGGATTTATCGAGTGTTTTCTAAATTTATATGGTGATTAGGAAGGAACAGAATTATAAGTGTATTTAACCTTCCCTTTACTTTTCTGATCAACTATGCGATAATTTCATTAAAATGGAAAACTACTCCTATTATAGGAGTTATATACCTGGCTATGGAGAAGATGAGCAAGATTATCGTAGTTAGGTCCACCAGTCCAGAGTTCGTACTCTGGCTCGTAGTTGTAAGGGCCAATTGAGGTCTCGAAAACTTCAATACAGAATCCTTTCGGAGTTACTGTGTTAGTTGAAGTATCATTATACACTTCCACTAATTCTGGGAATCTGTTGCTGGAAGTAACCAGAACCCTGAGCTTCTTTTTACCACGCTTTGTCAGAGAACGACCCCCAGGAATTGCAGCAGAACCACCGGGCCAGATAATGTTCTCGAGCTCATTGGTAGATGACAAATGTCTTCTGTTTTTGAACATTCCAGATGTCCAGAATCCTGTCCTCCTCTCACCCGTTCCTATGATATTCACTATTTCAAATTTGTCTAAGAAAAACTTACTATCAATGAATTGGACGTCACCACTCAAACCCTCAAGTCTGCTCTGCAAAATTGCCTCGAGAAGAGCTGATGCAGTAGAAGATGTTCTTGGCTCGGCAGGATCCATAACCTTAGAAACGTGATCATGGGTCGGCGAACCTGGCAGCCCTACCATCTCTACCACTCTTGCTAGTATCCAAGCAATATCACGTGCCCATACACCGAAGAGACTCAGCTCCTTTATTTCCATCTCATCTTCAATGGGCAATGACTTTTTCCACCGTGAGGTGAAATTCCGAAGCTCATTTGATGCTGACATGTAGGACCTGAAACCAACTACTCCTTCCATCGATTCCTTTGCAAAATTATCCATAAGATGCAAATGATTCATGGTTTTTGCAGTGAGGATCCAGGCATATCCTTCTTCCATCATTCCGTTTCTCCTTGCGCATTGAAAGATATTAGAGACAAGTCGGTCAGACAAGTGTACAATGAAGACTGTTGTTCCTGAGGCCTTGAACATTTTAAGTTGTTCCATGATATAATCTTCGCTAGATGAGACTGCAAAAGCACCCTTGTTTACAACACGGATATCATTCTCTTGGAAATGCTCCAGCAATAGTTGCATACTATCTTTCCAGTCATCATCATCCTCGTAAATGACAACGACTGTTCTCCAACCAAATCTATGAACGAAGGCTGTTATGCCCTTTGCTTCCGAGAGGGGATCATGAGTGACCTGAATAAAGTACCTATACTTGTTTAAGGATGTGGAGCTCACATGAAGAGAAATCACAGGAACTTTAGCTTTCTCCCCTATCTCTGCCAAGAACTTTGCATCGAGAAGTGACTGCCCACCAATAATTGCTTTAGCTTCTGTATTTTGAAGGAGATCTACAGCTGTTTCATGTAGAAAATACGTTGTTGGACCGTAAGCATCCAGAAGAATCAAGTGTACATCACAGTGATTTAATGGATCAATCACACACATTTGAATGTCCATTGATTCCTTTAGAATTTGGTGAAGAGAAGAAAAAGCTAAGAAGATGGATCAAACCTAATCTTGATTCATATTAGATCCCTTACTTTTGTGGAAAAATAGGTCATGTGCCTAGGAATCAAGCTTACTTTGCAATCGTATGATTCGTATCTACTGTTGTATGCAAATATAGGTAATACATTTTATCCAAAAAAAATATAGGTAATACAACTCCTTGATTGCAGAGTAGCAAGGACATCCAAACCAATAACATCTCAATTATCCAATTCCTTTAACAGCTAATACCTTTTTCTGTTTAACAAATGAATTCTTACAAAAGAGTAATACTTTCCAGTTCCCATTAAAACATTGCTTGTGCACCTAATTCCCCCCGATTTCGTTCTGACATATATTACCAAAATATCGACTGTTATAGTACCTCGTTTTAGTTAATGCAGATGTTAATGTTGCGTTAGTGTGCAGGAGGAATAGACTCTTTTTTTTTTGAAAGTTTGTGGGGAAATACACTGTTTTCCAAACGCTTGGGGGAAATACGATGGATTCAATAATTCACGGGAGTCCGATGAATCACAATAATTCGGGAAGAAATACGTGGGTTTTCCATACTTTTATGTTTGAGCTACAGGTACAGCTGATGATCTATACAATCTAAGGGAACATATGGAAGAAGAAAACATGTAAAAGAGACTACAGAAAAAAAAAGCGAGAAGATATACAGGTTGATTGACGTACCAGCAGCCAGAGCTAGGAGAGGTTCTCCATAGGAGTCTCTCACAGAGACTGAGACTCTTGTTCTGTAGTTGCTGTTAACGAGGTAGAAATCGGAAAGTGCTGTGGAAATAGAGCTTCGGATAATCTTCCCCTCCATGGAACCCATGTCCAGCACCAAACCCACCTGAACCTTTTCATAAGCCAGAGACGTGGAGATGAGAAGCATAATAACAAGACATGAGTCATATGGCATACAGGTATCCATAGCGGTTAAGCTTTGGCTGTAAGTTTTAATGTTTCATGAAAACCTGTCTGCAAGATGAATAACATCAACAGACACTTTTTGCGTGTCAAGTAAAGTTAAAACATTGGAAAACAGGACTGGTCAGAATAACAAGGTATGAAGAAGAAGTCAAAAAAAATTTGACAATTAATTAATAATTATGACAATCATAGTTCTTGACCGTGTAACCTTGTCAACAAATTATTCAATCAATTAGCAGATTACCTCTGAACTGTCAAAGATATGAGCCTGCAAGGAAATAATGAAGAAAAGTGAATAGTTTATATACCATTCCATTAAACAGCTGTCTGGAACTGGTCAGCCTCCCCTCTTCCCATCTTTGGCGTTCATCTAGAATGATGAATCCCAAATTACGTATAAACTGAGTGGTATAGCTGTGGAACGGAGATAAAATGTGTTCCTGAATTGGACCACTTATGATAAATGGATGCAGGATGAATATCAAGTTACAATGTTAGGCGACCACATTCATATACTGCATAGAAGAGTTAAATAGTGACAGAAGCGATCCTAGCAACTCTACTAGTTATCCATCTTAGAAGAATGAGGAAAAATCTCAGAAACTGCAAGGACTTTTTTTCGGCTGTAACACTGAAAACCCTCTAAACAAATGCTTCAACTGTTTGAGGAAGACCATATTGGTAACATCCTCTGGTTAGGTTCCACAGGATAGGTCATTCATCATTTTGAGAGGAACCTTAAGACCAACCACCCGGCCGACAACAGAGAACCATGACACCAAGTACAATTCAACTGGCCTCCTGTGTTCATTCGAATTCGAACTGCCACTTTGGAAAAGCAGCTTGGTCCATTCACCAGTCCCACAAGGGTGCAACTTAAACCATGGCCTGTTCAAGTACGGATGCTCCTGCAATTGGACATTCTCTTTACTATTTAGGCAGGGATACAAGGGCGGATATTCAAACTCGTATGTATATGGAATGGAGAGGAAAACCGTGATATTGATTTGAGAATACACCTCTTGAGTTATGAATGTCCACTTAGATTCCACCAAGAGACTGGTAGAGCATGTAGGCAGATCTTTTTCAATAGCATCCAAAGAGACAGGTTGCCCATCTACATGACAGTGATAAAAACAAAGTCCATAAGATAGCCGGTGAAACCACTTGCAATAGCAAACAACAAGGGTACAGGTTGATTATGACATACCACTGCAATATCCACGAAAGTAAAGGACAGGAACCCCATATGATGCACTATAAACTATATGGAAATCATAGTAATGTGCTTCATTTTGTTGGTTTTGGACCTAGAAGAAAGAAGGACAAAGAACAAAAGCATTACATCTCGGAGTTCTGCTTCAAAACATTGTTGTAGATGCTTGAGAATCAATATATAATCTACATACCAGTATTGCGTGATCAATTAACTCATCTTTCTCCAAGGAATCAGCGGCTGCATTTAGAGAATTATCCTCCTCGTCACCACTCTGCAACATGGAAGGATCCAAGTTGGAAAAAAAGATAATTCGATACTGTAAAACGAAGAGAACAATAAGTACCTCAAGTGACCTGAAGACACAGATCTTCTCAAGCGACAAGTAACCTTCCTCCTGCCAAAAGCACGACGAACGGAGATTCTGAAACAGAGCCTCTAATCTTGGTACATAACTGGAAATTTGTCTGAATGCCATACGAGACCTTCTTAGGACCCATTAAATTTCGAATCTTGAGAGGAACCCAAGACCATGGAGGGTATGATTGGTTATGTCTTCTCCAATTATCAGCAAAAGCTCGAGCGGCTATGGCGAAGGTATCAGGTGTGAGCCTACCATCCCAAGATGAACAATTCACAATTTCTCGCGTCGAAGCCATTGCAGCCTAAGGAATCGAAGCGACAAATTCAGATGAGTCGACTCTTACATCACAAAATCTAGAACATGACACAAATTTTCCTGAACAATTGTAACTTATCATGATAGTTTTGCAAGCTGAATTCGACCCACCATGGATATAAGAAATTTGAACAAAACCCAGTAACTACAAACTGAAGTTTGAGAGCGGAAATGACCAAAATATTATAAACAGAAAAAAAAATTCCCCATCAAAGCAAGAATCCTATGATATCACCAGAAAAACAGTAAAACAGCAGGGTTCTCGAGCTCTGGTCCGAATTTCTTCCCCAATTCAGTTTCCTTGCACCTTGTCCTCTTTAACAGATTTCGTAATCGTAATTACCAAACATCTAAAATTAGAGAAACCCATATACAATAGAACCTCGAAGTTGTTCAAATATTCCACCAATATGCCCACAAAAAATCTTGAACCTGTCATACACTTCCAAGATTAAACGGAATGTTTGCAAATCCGCCCACGTTTAACCTTTGACTATGTTGACCATATTTTCAGACGCCGGAATGATGACGTGGCACCGTCGAATGCTGAATATGCCTCACGTCACATGTCGCGTCAGAATTGTCAATTGTCGGTATTTAAAATTTAATCCAAACCGGTTAAGATATCGAATTAACCGATACAAAACCGATTTTAACCACAGGACAAAAAAAATGAAATCCCTAAAAAATTTGATCATTCGAACTCTAAACCACAACAAAATCCATTCCAAAACCAACAAATCGGCCGAACTCAGAATTCCTACTAAGATGAAACCAGTGTTTGACATACTTCAATTCCACCCAAACCGTATAATATCTCTTACGGAAATACAAAATCGACACCAAAGAGATGGATTCAGACCAGAAACACGAAGGATAAAGAGGGACTGAGCTATACTGAGAGACAGAGGAGAAGGATTCAAACCTCAGAGCACACCAAGGAGATGACCACCGACACAAGAAGAACAGCGAAAGAAGAGGAGAAACTAGGGAAAGGGGGGTTCGTCGCCAGTGGAATCACCGGTGTGAGGGTTCGTCGCCGGTTGAATGGACTTGGAGAAGGGGGTCAAATTTTTTAGGGTTTTCTCTCTGGGCAATCGCGATAATGCCAGGTTAAAGAAAGGGAATTTTTTGTAGGGATTTCATTCTCTCTCTCTCTTTTTTTTGTCCTTTGGTTAAAATCGGTTAGTTCGTATATTAAACCGATTTGGATTAAATTTTAAATATGACGTACAGCATTCGACAACATAGTCAAAAGTTAAATCTTAAATGTGGGTAGATTTGCAAACGTTCCTTTTAATCTGAAACTCTGTCACGTTCCAGATTTTTTGTGGGACATTATTGGTGGAATATTATAACAATTTTATGGGATTTTATGGGATGTGATAAACCCTATACAATAAGATGATAGTGAAACTATTAGAGATCAATGATGGACCGACATTAGATTTCTTGGTTCGTCATATCTTTAACTAGGGACACCAGGAGTGAATTGAACTAAAGGATGCCTGATCTGACGTGGTGTAGCAGTTAAGGTTCATGCACTGTCGAGGACTTTAAGTTGTTCTGTCTGACGCTGCTGAAGAAACTCTGGTCTCAAACTCAGCAAGGTAATCCTCCATACAAGCTCTGTAAGTATCCATGCCCGAGACCTTCCCCGCAATTTCCAACCCGATTTTCATCCACTTCTTCGCTGTTTCGTTCTGTCCAAGCCTCACGGGCAATGCTGCTCGGTTCCAAGCTGTCATTGCAAGCCATTTCCCTTCCTCAGTCGGGTACTCCCTGTCCTTTAATCCGATCATGATTCTGTAAGCTTGCTTATACATGTTATGAATCGTTTCATCGTCTGTCTCCCCTTTGTGGACGCTAGATATTGCAATAAGCTTCCTGATTATGAGTGCCACCATGGGGTATTCGGGTGTAGGAGATGAGATGAGGGTTGCGAGGCATTCGTTTAGAGCGAATGCTGCTACCTCGGGGTTGGATCTCGGGCCTTGGGAGGCAAACATGCCGATTTGAAGAAGATAGTTGGGGTTACAAGCCTTGGATCCTGCATAAGTCTTGACCAGGAGTTGCTGGAATGGTGAATTGTTGAGTCTTCCGTGTATGTCGTAGGCATTTAAGGTGTACATGAAGAAGAGTTCGGGCTCGATGATACTGTCCTTGCTGTTGTTGAGTCCCGACCCAGATGAGAGCAAAGTCATGATCTGCATTTTAGTGAAACATCAACAAATTGAGTGATGGAGCTAAGCTATCATATGATAGGATTAGAGAAGAGAAAAGAGAGACCTTTCCGGCTCTCTCGAGTAACTCTGAAGCTTGTTTCACTTGGAATTCTGTCAATGTAGTTTTGCTTTGCTTCTCCCAGGCTACCATAGCAGTTACACTTAATATTATCGACTTGCAAATCATGATTTCGTTTTCCCCGGGCTCACTATTTGCCATATAGCTGTAAAATTCTGATGCCAACCTCAAGAATTCAGCGCAGAGCTCGTACTTCTGTTGGTTCCCACATCTTGAACCGACATTCCACGAAGTAACAGCAAACCAGTTCTGCTCTCGTCTTCCGGTCTCCCCTCCTCCAAAGAAACAATCAATCCCGAGCTTCGATGCCCGGCTATAAGCTTGCAGCAAAAAATTGAGGGCTTCAGTTTCACTTCCGCTGTCTTGAATCAGTATTGTGGTCAAGGTACGAAACACCACAACTTCCGTTGTTGGCATCGTTTTTCCTGAGACAAAGAAGCTGAGGAACTTGGAGAGAGAAGCAACTGCAACAGGGAGCGCTTGGCAAGAAATAGCTTCATGGGCAGAGAGGGAAAGAAAATCTGGAGAAAAATCAAGGCAGGTTGTCATTGCCTCGATCTGAACAATCGCTCCACTGTGATCTTTCTTTTGTAAGTAGATTTTGAACTGCAGGAAACATAAACAAAGTGAGGTTGCTTATAAGGCCTGGTCACACAATGCACAGACATCTAAGTATAACATGATTCAGTTTTTCTGGGGAAGAACATATATAGGAAGGTTGAATAATTTGTGGCTACTAAGAGGGGAAACGACAACCACCACCTTAAGGAAAGAACACGCAATGTTGGGCTCAAGCTGCAGAAACAGAAAGCCGGTTAGCTGAGATTGAGACAACTCTAGTGGATCTAGCCTTTGAACTTCAGTTAATCAGAGTACCTTTTCAGCTTCTTCAATGTACTCATGAGCTCGATCAAGCTGAGAGAGCCCAAGATAGCAAAGACACAGTACCCTGAAGCCTTTGGCCCTGAAAACTCTATTCTCAAGGTCATGTGGAATATAAAGCATTGATTTCTCGAACACATCTGCGCTCGTCTCATAGTCTTTAGCATGGAAGTGATCTGAACCACTATAAAAAGAATGACATATGAAGATTAGATCTCGAGAATACTTGTATATAGGAACTTGTGAAGCAACCATGTCACGTAGCTATACAACCATCCAGACGATGACTTTTCATAAATCTCTTTTTTCTCAAATGCAAAGTAACTGTAGAAACTATAAACGCCTACGGCGAAGTTGATTCAGTCACTCAAGGTGCCGCACATTGGTTATGCAAACCGATTATTAACTAGAGGAGATGAGAAAAATCCTCAACATTTGGGAAAACAACATGAATGACAGACATACCTATTCCACAGAACAGCATGCATTGCTTTCCTCTCCTTAGCCACTGCCTCACCCGCAAAGAGAGCCACTACTCTCTCATCTGACACAAGCTGAGCCACAACCTTGGCCCTAACACTCGAACCATGGTCTCCTCCACTGCTATCTCCAAGGACCCGATGGGCCACTCTAAGCGCTGCCTTGGCGCTCACATGGCACCGCCCCAACAGACCCAAGAACACGCCCTTTGTAGTCTCTGCACCAGCGGTTCCAACTGCCTCAAAATAAGCTTCCACTGCAGACACCCACACTCCCTCAGGAATGTCCTTGTTTCCCACCATACCCCTCAGCTCCTTCTCTGCCTCACTGTACCTCCCAAGGCCCAACCAAGCTTTCATCGCCAGCACAGGCAATGAAGCATGCTGATCTGCTCCATCACCGCCATTTCCTCCACCCCCTCCATCTCTGAGAACTTTCACGCACTTGATCACACTATCGTACTCTCCCTTCTGCAAATGTACGGCCGAAATAAAACGCAATGTTTTGGTTCTCATCCCCAAAAACTCCATGGTGTCTTCCCTGGTCTTTGCCGCACCAAGCCCCTTCTCACAGAGATCAAGAGCTTCGTTCATGAGCCTCAAAGCCTCGTTTAGGCTTCCCGTATCGTCTCTGGACAAAGCGCTTTTGCCGAACGCTAGGAATTGATTCGAGAGGGATTTGTAATGATCAGGTGAACCAAACAGAAAGTTCTTCGC